TGCTGTTCAGTGAATTTTTACTTGACTTTAATTCTTGGTCTGGTGTATTTGATGCCCTTAAACTTCTTGTGTGTTTCCTTTGACCCATATCAACATAGCCGTAAAGAGAAAAATGAAGTGCAAGTGGATCACAAGCCTGAATCTGTTGCGTTAGTGAAAGGAACAAACACATTCACATTGCTGAACTTCTTGATAAACTGTAAGAGTTTAGTGGCTGCTGCAGGCCCTCAAGCAGGGCTCCCGCCAACACTGTTGTCCCCAGTTGCTTTTCGAGGTGCAACAATGCAAACGCTCAAGGTAAAGAGCCAAGGAAAGAATGACTTTCTGGTGCTGTCTGTCTTCAGGAAGGGAAGGCTTTGTTCCTTCGCATATCTTTGTGTGGTTACTGCTCCTCCAGTGATATTTCTTAATGGTGCCATTTGTGCTGTATAATTTGATGTTGAATTAGCAGTTTAATTACAAACCTCTCTTTTGGGGTTTCAGGTTGGTAGCACAGATTTAAAGGATTTGGAGCCTTAATTGTACATAGTCTCACCTTCAAGACACAGGATTAAAACTATACTCGCCACTCCCAGTCACTAAGGTCGCTAATTACATTCCCCATGCAGTTGCACACTCTACCTACCATACTGTGTAGTTTCCTTGTGTATGAGGGTTTAGTATATTATATAATAAAATCATACTATAGCTTATGCCTTGTAGAGAGATTGAATAACTAATATCTAATTCATAAAGCACTTTGAGAACCTTGACTTAAAGCTAATGTTGAAGTAGATGAAAAATAAGATTTGTCACTAATCTTGATGTGTCAAACACTGAATATGTAATTTATTGTCTTCAGGCTCGAAGCATCAATGTGAAAACACCGGTTCACTCATGTTATAATGATATATTTAGCTTGGAGATCACAGGTCCTGTCATGCCTCATTGTCTGCATACTTTGACCATGCTGCTCAAATCTGCACAGAGGGGAGCTTTTTCTGCTGTATTATACACCCATGAGCCAACAGCAGTGTTTAACACTAATATAGAGAGAATCTTAAATAAGGTAAGTAGACTGAAATGGTGTCTTCTATGTTAGGGTTAGTACTTCTTATCTCTAGAAACAATAGACTAGTGAATGTGGGGGGAAAAACTGCTCTTGGCTTGGGATAATGGCTAACACCCATTTGTTGGCCACTTTAGAGTAACCAGTTTACAAGGTTTTATCAGTGGTAAGGAGGAGGCTGGGATTCCGAGTCATAACAGTGGAAAAGCATGTATATTAAACTGATGGCTTTAACCCAGTCCCTATCTGCTGCTCCACCGCTAGACTAGGCAGCTCTTCAAAATCTACTGGTCATTGGCACAAAAATGGGTATAAAATAGAATTAGTAGTTTCACAAAAGGTGTGCAAGATGCATTGGTTTCAAACTGAATTTCCACAGGAAACTATGTGCAAGGACCTCACTAAGTGTGGATTGCATCTTAAAACCTTGGAGCAATTGATTCAACTTCCAACATTAGGAAAATCTTCCATAAGACTCCTAGAAATGAGAGACTATGCTTACACCTGGAAATCCTAAGTATGCTATTTTGGCTCATGAAATGAGGCTAGTAGTCTTTGGTCAACACTCTACAGAAGCTATTGTGTACCAGGAAGGGAGAATCGCCTACTTGCGAAAGCTTTTGGATGTAGTGGAGAAGAACTTCTGTTGCACACCATCACTCATAAGACAACTTCCAGTGGAAAAACAAATATTCTGAACAGTCCAGCAAGAACGCTGCCTCTTTCAAAACCTGCAACAGCTGCATTTATCTTTAATGTTTTTAAATAAAATGTTTTATAAACAAACAAGGTAATCTTGTGTTTTCTCCTGTTTGGAATTAAGAGTGAGGGTTAGGGTATTTCCACCATTTTTAAGGTACAGAACTGTTAGAGGAACCACTTCTAGTTTCCAGAGAAGGTGAAGTAGCTCCTATGCTAGTGGACACTGGAGGTCAGTAATTATTACTTGTTTCAGTATTTAAAAAGAGACAATGATTGGATTAAACAGTAGTTGTCCTCGTGCTTAAACCATGATAGCTAAATGAGTATATGTAATCCTAAACCTTTACCTTTCATTAAAGATATAAAATGAGATATTAATATAAGTATAAAAAGTTGTGACACTTATCTTTTCCAGTGAGAACTTAACTCCTTTACACTATGAAACAAAGCAAAAAAGAGTGGTATCCCTCCCAAGTACAGTTTATTCTTAGCAGTAACTAAATGTAACTGGAAGCATCTAAAGTTCAAAGGAAGCACAGCTGTCATCTAAAAGGAAGGATTTCAATGCTATTGGTAAGATCCGTTGAATAAACTTATGTTCAGTAACAAACTGAATAGCTTTGTTCTGACATGCTATTTATTACACTACCTGCAATAGAATTTAAATATCAATCTGCTGTTTCGTTATGGTTCAGCTTTGGCAGAATACAGACTAAGATGTTCACTTGACAGGTAAATTGTCACTTTGAGTACATTTTGAAAGGATTCAACAATGAAAAGTACACTACTAGTGATACCAGACTGAGCCTGACAAGCCACAAGTGACTTTAACCTGTCAGGATGCTTTTACTATATTAACCAGTTGTAGTTGATGAAATAATACTTACTCAGTTTGTTTTCCTCACAGCAAAACGACTATTTCCCCTGTCATACTGTTTAAATATCAATAGGTAGTACTATAGTAAAAGAAACACTATGAATTCACACTACTGTACCTCTTTTGGGTAATGCTGATTGCTAATGTGGCTTCTGAACCACAGAGGTCTGAGTATCAGTGCTCTAGGCTGATGTAGATAGCGGATATTGTCCTCCAACTTTAGCTGAAAGTAACTCTAAGAAACTGACACAGATCCTTGAAGTGCTGTAGAATGCTTTTTACTACACAGACTTCTGGTAAACAGGCTCCTGCACTATAGATCATGAGCTCTTAAGATCAATATGTAGAACACTGAAGAGGCTGCCCCATGGAAGTTGGAAAGTCAATTAGTCACTGTAGCTCTTGGTTTTAGCTTTGTGTAATTGTTATCTCAATCCATGTAGGCTGGGGTGGTCTACCACTCCACTCCAATAACATCATTAACCTTTAATTCTAATAAAGTGTCCTCACTAACTTACTATGATACTTAGATGAGCAAATCTGATGGTAAAATGAGTTAAATAAATGGATGCATTTCAGGCACAGGCCTTTATGTATGACTTTAAAACAACTCTTAATAGTTTAACTAGGAAAGTTACTTTAAAAGAGGTGATCATGCTTTTTTGGCATTTTATGCATAAATGCCTGAAAGTGTTGTTAAAACAAGCAGAGGTTTTAACCTTTAAAACCAGGTGTATCAAGTCTTCCCTGGTTGTAGAGGACTTGCTGCCATCTATTTTGATTTCTCCACCTTTAAGCAGAACTAAGCTTGCACAGGTTACCTTAATTCTAGTATCTACTTTTGCAGTGCTTCCTTATTCCTTTAAGACTTTTATATGGAACTATTTAACCTAAACCAGCTCCTGTGAAAAGGTTCATTTTCTGCATTGGGCAAAAAGGTTAGTGTTGGGGCTTGTGAATTTGAACCCTCTTACATTGGAGTGTTCCTTTACACATTATAGTAGAGTACAAGTTTTCATTGAATCATTTCTAATCCAGCTTGATGTGCAGATCATCGTGGAATCAACCAAGGCTCATCTTCCTGAACTAGGGCATGATTTTTCACAGGTATATCCTGTATATCCACAACTCCAATGGACTACAGCTGGAACAGCGCTGAGCACTTCTGAAAACAATACCTTATAAGCATTAAGTGGTCAACTAGACAAACACACACACATTTAGTGGTCACCTCCCACAATCTTCTAGGCTACTTTCACTACAGACCTTCTAACTTCTGCAGCAAATGAAGCAGGGGTCCCATAACCAACAGCTTCATTCATTTAATGAGGTTAGGGGCCTGGTAGGGAGAAGGAAGCATGATTAAGTAATTAAGTTTACCTGTGCATTATCTTTAATTCAAGCATTTCCTATTTGAGTGTCTCACTTTGCAACATGAATGGTCTTTGAACATAGGGTTTTTTATTTAACTAGAATTTAAAAAAAAAAAAAAAAAATCAACCCCCTGTTGCCACTATTTTTTAGAGGATAGCAGAGTACTGGATATAAGGCTTCCAGAGTTGGAGTGTGAATTAACAGAGCAGGGGATGGAGTTGGGACTCATGCATGCTACTTTATTTTTAAGCAGTGCTTTACCTTCATAGTATTTATTTAGCTCTTTGTCAAAGCACTTTGTACAGGTGGTTATGGAGGAACAGTCCCAATTCACAAATAGCCTAGCAAAGCACACATTTTATGTATTTTGCCAACAGACAAGCATGGATGGAACTCATCTGCCATATTAGACAACTAGGTTCTATTCCCAGCTTTGACAAAGGTGACTTTATACTACACTTCTAGCCTTCAGTCACTCTATGACATGGGACATTGATATTTTGTTCAATAAAAAGGTGCAAAGGATAGAGAATTGACATTAATCCATGGAAGAAATGGGACTAGAATTCATCTTCTGGCTCCTAGAGCAAAGCTCCTTCCCCTCAGACCAAAGGACAGCTTGATGCTAAGAGGAGCTCCATTTTGTCCCTGTGAATTTGTGGAGGTGTGTGCAGTTGACAAGATACAAGCTTTGAGGGGGAAAAAAAATTTAAAGAAATAATTAAGCATACAAACTACTAGGCATGCGCAAACTACTAGGCCATTTTCTAAGATTTATAACTCAGCCATGTAAGACATGAGAACTATTTTCCCCCACTGCAAATCTGCAAACCCCCCACTGTCAACAGTTTAGAGCTATTTTTAAAAAGAGAAAGTGCCTATTTTTCCTACACACCTTCGTTAGCAAAAACTGCCAAAATTTTGAATCAAACTTAAAAAAACAAAACAAAACCCTTATCTTGTGATAGAGTACAAGCACAGAAAACATGAGGCCAAAAGTTAGCTTGGTAACTTTATAAACAACTGAAAACATTTCACTATTGCTCCCCCTCTGATACATACTCTCTAAATTACTGCTTTGGCACAGATCTTAATTACTGTTTACTGACCAATGATTAAGATTATGAACTTGTGCGGCTTTATTGACTTGAGTTGGGTACAACAATTGAAGTATCATTCTACCCCCCATCCAGTTGTAGATTTGTTATAGCTTAAAATTCACATTAACCACAAATTCATACAATCAACATCAGGCAGTGTGTTAATTTGAGATTGGATTAGATAATTTCATATCTCCTTACCAGAACATGCAGGGGAGAGAGACTTTTACACTGCAATTCTCATCAATTTCATCGCTGGACTTTCTTCCCTCTCATTTAAGCCAGGTCATTTGCCTTTTCTTTTTAGTCTTAAAAAGTAAGCAATATGACCAGTTGCAGTACACCATTGACTTAAACCCCAAACAAGACAGAGAGAAGTGGTAATGTTAGCATTGTACAACAGTGCCACAATTTACCTACCTTCTTGGAGGGGTAACATTACTGGCCCAGTATCTGTCCAGCAGTACATACCAGCCTTTTTCTAGACTACGATAAGCTGCACAGCCTTGTACTGGCTATAGGCAAAAGTACTACAACAGTAGCTTTACCAAGACCAGGGAAAACTGCATGATAGTACAAAAGAGTATGAAAGGGTTAACATTCCATATTGAAGAGAACTTGCATGAGTTTCAAAGAGAAATTGCATGAGTTTTAAAACAAGGGTTTAGATTACTGATGCCCTCCAGAGTCTGCCTGTTGAATTTAGTCATTTAAGAAATAATTACATCACTAATGTAAACAATATAAACATACCAAAAACTAAGTATGATTTAAATACATTTTTGATGGTACAAAAGAAAATCTTGAAGGTGTCTGTACAGTTTTTACAACGTGGGAATCACCAATTTATTTACAACATGAAACGGGGAAATACCTTTCTTGTGCAGAATAAAATTATCTGAAATAATGTCAATATAAAAAACAATATCTAGCGGTGTGAGGCACTCCTGAAGATGGTAGCATTGGGCATGCTGTCCTTTGGTACAAGTCCCATCGCTTGGAGAGCCGCAGTTGCTGCTGTGGCTTTAGCATGCTTCTTATTAAGGCTGGGAAAGCTAGGCCTGTATTCATGCCCATTGACCATCACCTGTTTAAGAGAAAAAACATACAATAAAATAAGCGATTTAACCAGTTGTTTGTTACTAGTACTGGAAAAGTTCTTTATAAGAGCCAGAAAGAGCGATACGCAAACTTCCTATTAAAAGTATGCAAAATCCGCTGCCAGCATCACCTGCAACATGCAAGCATGTCCTCGCTGAAGTCTCTATGATATTTATAAACAACTCCATTGGATCTTAATGCTGAAAGACAAGCAAGTACAAACTATCGGGCTGCACTGAGGATGAGGAAATTAAGGTTCCTCAAAAACATCAATTTGTGAACTCTTCACTATTATTCGAAGTACAAAAACACTCATTAAGTTTTCCCCATTCTCTACATTTTTCTCTCATGCTGGCACACTTTGCATCTTGAAATTGTGTCTTCACTTCCCTTTCTGTCGTTTTAGATATGGGTATAATTCAGATGTAGTAAGTTATTCATATTTATATTCTAGTAACACCAAGGCCCCCACTCAGGATCAGAGTCTCACTGCAAACACAAAATAAGATCGTCCCTACCCAAAAGAGGCTTATAATCTAAATATACAAGACACTGATAGACTACATATTAGGAAAATGTTAAAGGGCCAACTAATACCCTTTACTGGACCAACTTCTGTTGGTGAAAGCTCTTCTTCAGGTCTAAAAGATATGACCTCACCTACCTTCTCTCTCTAATATCCTGGGACTGACATGGCAATAACTACACCGCATGCAAAGATCCAAGTATTTTAAAAACCCTGCCCCACCTAACTCTTCCTCCCACTCCCTGTGCAGAGCCTGTTATACCAGGTACACTGTGGCTCCATGGGAGTCTACATAGCAAACTTCCGTTGTAATTTAGCACTATTACAGCTCCACCAGCGAAAGCTGTTGCACCCACAGGGCTTTGGTGTTTTTACCATCATATCAACAAATGATGCTTGAGACTACCTTTAAAAAGGATTCAAAAGCTCCCTCATGTGATACAGAAAGGAACCGCTTCCCTCAAAGGGGATGAGTATATGATGTCTATTATTATTAATCATGTTTATTACAGTAGTACCTAAGGAACGACTAAGAATGGGTGCAATTGTACTAGGCACTGTACAAACAGTCCCTGCTCCAAAGCAAATTAGGTTGCTAGTTAATGTATTTAATAAAGATCTATTAAATAAGACTAAGGTGGTGACCTAATGTGGCTGAGAGACCTTCTCCCTATATCCCCTCCAGGCAGTTGTGGTCTGCTGGTTTGCTTTTGCGTCTTGTGATTGAACTCTGTGATTAGTAGCAATGCACTCTGAGTGGTGGGCCCACTTCTCTGGAATCTGGTCCTTGGGGACAACAGAACCAGTGTTTAGCAAACTTCATAGAGCAGTGCGAGAACTCTTGTTTTGTTAAAACTACTAATTTATTCCATTTTAGGAGCCAGATAAGTTCAGAAATGTAGCTCTAAAATACTGCTTAATAGTTTACGGAGCCCAGGTTTTACTTGATGGGGGTAAATTAAAATAATTGATAAGAAACTACCGTTAAGGCAGAAAAAGTGTATGCCTGAATTTCTTTTTTGTATATGCAAACTTTTGAAATTAAGTATAGGACAAGATGCTATGGCCTGGACTCCTGCAGTGATCTTTTCCACAATGCTTGAGAATTTTTCTCCTAGAGAAGGAGCGGAGAAGACACTAATATGTTTTTGTGATCTATTTCTCTCTGTCAGTTCTTTAGCGGAAGAGTAGTCATTTTCAATGGCAAACACTAATGCAAGATTCAAGTGGAAAGAGTAAGCTGGACTAAACAATAAAAAAGGGTTAAATCCTGCTCAATTTATTCACAAGGGCCGTTCCACTAAAGCTTATTCATGGAAATATGGCAGGTAGGATTTGACTCCAAATTGGTTTAACTCATTTAAATTGGCGGTGGGAAGAATGGCATTTAGCCTCTTCATAGTTACAAACATGCATACATGTTTGCAGATTTTGGGGTTAAACTGTAAGCTCCCTTTAGAATAAGGACTTTGTATTCCTATGTGTTTGGACCATGCCCAGCACATTGGGGGCACAACTGGAATACAAAAAAATGAAATTAATAATACTAGATTTATCATTTCTAACCGAGTACTAGACATGTCAGAAAGGGGAATTCAAGCTTACCTTAAAGATAAAATGTTTGCGATGATCAGGCCCACTATCATCCACCAATACGAATACAGGTGGTGACCATCTTCTTTTATTACATATCTCCATCAATGCAGAAACTGGATGTTTACCTTAAATATAACAACATATTTTATTTCTAAATTAATTCCAATGTTACTCCTAGACAAGTTACCTTAAATTATATATTTTAAAGGAGCAAAAAAAGGCCTTACCTGAAAGATCCTTCATTACACTAAAATGTCCCGATCTCTTTTGTGTCTTTTCTCCCACAGCAACAAGGCCTAAACAAAATATGGACCATGTTTATATCTTGTGTTACTTTTTACTCCTACAGACCTGATGTGAGCACTGAACTCTTGCTATTGGAGCCTGGGTTTCTCTCATTCCATTAACCCACAGCATGCATTAATGACACGCATCTAGGACAACGTCGACTGTGGTGCAGTCACACATTCAAAAGCCTTTTAATCTTTCCCTTCATTTCAATAATACTTTTTCTTCACACCATGCCATTCTTCTCAACTTGTTCCATTAACTGTTCCATCGAGACTGTAACTAGTCTACCAGTCACCAGGAAGCACAAAGCATGCTAAGGAAGGCACTCTTCCCCCTCACAGAGCTCAGTACTTCACTGCTCACGTCACCTTTCGGGAAAATGCATGGCAGAAGCTGAACTAAAACTCAAGAGACACACAGGTGCAGGGCTCCTGCAAGCCACCCAATGTTCAAAATCTCCCCCCCCCCCCACCCCCCATGTACTTTAGTTGAAACATTTCCCTTTTAAATTAAAGAACTTCAAGCTTGTTGAAAAAAATCTTTGTCAATAATAGTTCACGCTACAGTGTCATTTAGTCGTATGAGAGAATTTGTTAATTACAATGGCTTCCTTGTCTCATATGTGCTGTTCTTGGTTTACAATGATCAGAGTTTTCTTGTGTCTGGATTCATAGCCGTTTACACGGAAGTCAATCACATCTGGAGAAACATGATGCATCGTTACAGCTGTGTTTATGTCATGGAAGTCACGGAATCCGTGAATTCCAGAGACCTCCTTGACATTTTCTGCTTCAGCCCCAGGGGCTGCAAGACTGGAGCTGGCAGCCAGCAGGGCCCTTGCAGGGTTTCAGCAAAGGTTGACAGCCTCCTCAAGGTTCCAGTGACGGGTGACAGCCTTGCACAGGGGTGGCGGGACCTTGGGCGAGCGGCTGGGGATGTCCCATTTTCTCTTTGGGAAATATGGCTACCCTGGAGCTCCCAACCACCATGGGCAAAGGGGGAAACCATGGAGCTGCAGCAGCAACAGTCACAGACAGGTCACGGCTTCCGTGAATTTTTGTTTCTTGTCCGTGACCTGTGACTTTTATTAAACAATAACCATGACAAAATCTTAGCCTTATGCATTGTCTATGGCTGTGTCTACATTACAGAAACTATGCTGGTATGGACCACAGTGCAGATGCAGTTTACACTGCAGAAGGAGTTTTTCAATGACATTAGGTACCTCGAAAGAAGCACTCATCTGTTGATAAAGCTGCATCTACAATGGGGGTTTTGTCAGCGTAGCTTTGTCAATCAGAAGTGTGATTTTTTTCCAAACCCCTAACTGACAGAGCAAAGCTGATATACCTTTTTAGTACAGACCAAGCCTATAGCAGAAATACAGGGTGGGATTATCAAAATTGCTTAAGTGATGTAGGAGTACAAGTCCCACTGAAAGTCAATGGAAAACCTAACCTGCTCCAATTGGCTGTTCTCAGGAGAAAGGACAAAAATAAGTAGGTGATTAAAAAAAACATTCTATATAGTTCTGAGGCAGTAGCTATCAAACTTTCATTCTGTTAATTACTTTGTACAAGACATCCTCTCGTGAGCCATGTCCTCCACTCCAACCTTCCAATCCCAAGATTTTAAAGGGTAAAATAAAACAATCAATCTGCCTATAGCATAAGGAAATGTGTACGGTGACCCACCATTTTCCTTTAACAAAACATTTTATCCTCATGAATTTCAAAAATCCCTTTTCTCCCTCTCGAGTGACACTTAAATACATGTAAAAATAAAACATTTTGAACAACAATGGCCCTGAACTTCCTTTTCTTCAATCCCCTCCTTTTATTTTTCTTGTTTCTTACCTTCAACTTGATTCCTCTCCTGGCTTTTGGGAATGAAGGGAGTAAAGGGGACATACTGCAGTTTTTCACCGCCTTTTTTTTTTTTTTTAAGCTCACATCCTCATTACCACCATACCTTCATGCTCAGAACTTCAAACATAGTTTATTTCAAGGGATTATGGCCCCAAAGTTATCTCCAAATTCAAACAACTCTGATGTTTCTTCCTTTATCTTGTTGAAAATTATTTACATAAGAAATAATTACAAAACTGAGGTTACAATGAAGGGAGGGATCCTACAGCACATTATGTTTCACATCTGGCAGCTTAAGCAGTATGGCTCTGAACCAACTAATGGAAAGATGATGTTCTGCTTTCCACTGTTAATTGAAGCAGTGTTTTTTTACACCTTTCAGAGGCTGAGAAGGGAGCTCTCACAGCTTAATGGCAGCCAACAGAGCAAAAGAGTAGCTTAGTGGCTGGAAGCTGTTCAGGCCATGCCCAAGAGTAGCTGGTCTAGTGCAGAGCCATGGGAAAGGATGGCAAGCTCTGGATTCACACCTTGTTGCTGTGTCCCAAAATAGCTTTTACTGAACATAGTTAATGGACTGTTCCTGGATATGAATTCCCAGAAGACAAAACACTCGCCATTTTCGAATAACTTTAGACAAGATTTCAAAAATTGTTTTCTTTTATAAGAAGGGAAGAAGAAAATTACTTTGTCCATTTAAATTTTCTAGCCAGAACACTAACCCCTTCTAGATAAAGTTCCAGTCTGGCTTTCAGCAGTACACACACACATTGGTCAAGGCTGTCCTCAACCCTTCCCTTACATCTTCTTCATATTGGTTTGCACAGCACATGGCACAGATTTGACATTTTATAAACAGCAGCATCAGTCCATTCCAATGCACTTCAGTGCCCTCCCAATGTACAAGAATCACTTCAGCTACCTATTTTTAACAACCCAAGTTGCCTCTTTATAGCGAACATGATCTTAACATGAAGCACCCATGTCAGTTTAGCGAAACTTTGGCACTTCTTCCTATCAATCTGGGTTTGATTTTTTTTAGGGAGCCTGTTGGAAAGGATTACAGACTTGAAGGGATGTAGGATTATTTATCTGATAATTTAATCCTTTTTTAGCCCGTTTTGAGTTTTAAAACAACCCAGGGATCACACTGCAAGGATATCAATATTTGTCGGTGAACCTATACCAAGAAAGGGAAGATGCATGGCAAGAGCTCTCCTCACTAAGATCTTACTAATAAATTTGCTTGTATGCTGTTTTCTTCTTCTCCACCTCTCTGGCCATCTTACTAAACAGTAAGCTCTTTGGGGCAGTGAATATATCTGCCTATTTGTTTGTACAGCACTTAGCACAACAAGGCCCTGGTCCTGGTTCAGGTCTTCAGGCTTTACCACAATATAAATAATCATTGGGATTGAATGTCAAACTCTACAGATGTTAAGAAATGTTATCAGATACCACACAGAGGCTGCCAGACACTCAATAAGGTTAGTACTCCTAATCATGGATGTGAGCCTGTCAGATAACCCATTCTGCAGGATGCTCAGAAAAAGAGAAATGACCTTGAAGGAATTTTAGTTTAGCTTATAGATCTATATAGTTCTTCCCTGATGCCTGCGACATTACCCACGTAAAACTCAAAGAACTGTTATCAGCAATGAGAGGTTTAGAGGACAGAGCTGCTGAACAACGCTGTGCTGCAGCTCAACAAGTTGAAGGCATTCCAGAAAAAGTGTTCTTCCTGGAACCTCGGTCAACTAATTCTTCTCCAAACTCTCTCCCTCCCTCCCCAATCTGGCAAGATGTCTGGCAGAAATGAATAGTTGTAAAGCAGGTTTAGACACTTTAATATGTAAAACTCATTTGTTTTCATGGCTTCCTTTTCTATATTTGTGGACTGTTTCATTGCTCAGTTATAAAGCCATTGTATAGACTGCTAAAGGAGCTATAAACTTTAGACAGGATCTCATTCTTATACTTGTAAAACGAAAGAGTGAGACTCTGAGGATCTCCATTTCCTGACTCCACACAGACAATTTTTACGATTCTAACACCTTATTTTCAATGCTTGATTGAGAGCATTCCACTATTGGGAAATCTCAATGTGGACAGTCAGGGACTGGTTTTTAGCATCTGCAGTTTTTACTGACTTAACAGCATTTATGAAAATCAGGCCTATAAAGTTTAAGTTTACGTGCTTTGTTTCTTTCCTGAGTGAAACTATGATTGAATGAAAACTCTGCTCTAAATGTCTGTAAGCTTAAATGTGATCTATGTAATGTATTGCAAGCTCAAAAAGGTTAGGGAATAACAGATAAATATTTACTTTTCTACTTAAACTACAAGCCAATGTTAATCTGGTTTACCAATGCACATTATGAAACAATATGGGTGAAATCCAGGCTCTACTGAAGTCAATTGGAATTTTGCAACACATTTTAAAATGTTAACTTTAAGAGCTTGAAAACGTTTTTTCTGAATCACAGCATACCTCAGCATGCATTGTGAAATAAAACTGCTGCCGAGTTTGTGTATATGTGCAAAATACCCAATTGTGTAATCTGGGCAGCTCATGTAAGTCACAGTAGGGTCCTGATTCTGCAGATAGGCTTATGCATGTGTCTAACTTTAAATGGAAGAGGAGCCCCAATTGACTTATATGAGAGTATTTATGGCTTTAAAGTTAAGCTCATGCCTAAATGTATGTAGGCTAGGGTGTAAGGGGCCAGCATCAATACAACTATTTTTACTGTAATATTTTATAGTAATTTACATATTACAGTGAAAATAATTTCCATATACTAAGATCATTCTATTCTTTGCTATAATAGAAAGAAAACCATTATCAGTTTTATAGTGTTTTAAAAGGTTTAAGGAAAGAGTTTACCTTTTCGATCGGTCTTAAAATCCACTAGGATAGGCTCCACAGTTCCTTCTCTGTTTTTTCCTAACCCCTCTCCTTCTCTCCAGCCCATTTTTCTCATCAGCTGGGCTCCCATTCCTCCAGTTACAGGGGCTGCTCTTAAGAACTGATCCTATCCAAAGAAAGAAAAGTAAAACAAGTCCTGAAGTTAGCACTTGATTTTAAAAAAAATAACTGGGAGCTTCCAAAAATGTTTATAACAACCTTTCATTGATCAATTCAAGTGAATATACCTTAGCTTTACATACATTTACATGGCTTGTATAAACCCGAGTTCATAACACACAAGTTAGACACATAATTTGTTCAAAATATCAAACTAGGAACAGCTTAAGAAAATTTTAATGAGATCCTTTAAGTCAAAAATGGCAATTTTAAACATTGACCTGTTTCAAACATGTAAGTAATAAAATGATAACCAACGTTTATTTTTAAACACATTACTTTGGTTCCAATGAATCTCTTCTTATCTTGTGAAAGGAGGCAGTGTTAATTGTTTAACTAGCAACATTTGTGCCAAGTGTACCTAGTTATTGAACAAAATACAAGTAAATATAGTAATGACATTCAAATACTGTTTAGGCATATTTTAAATATGAATAATGCTTTCCCACTTTATTACGCAGCAGTTGCAGACACATTTTACTCTGAAAATCCACATAGAACAGATACAGGCGTTTCTTTAAAAACAAATGAACAAAAATAAGGTACTTAGCCACACAGTTTAGCAGCAGTAGTTGTAATATCATTGTCTCAAATCATCATTACATAATAGTTGTTAAGTGTCGTAAGCTTATCAAATAGAACTTTTAAAAATCTGTTTTGTTGTAAAGAACTTTAAAAACTCCTTAAATGTTTACGTACCTAGGCCTCGATGGCCGCAGTGTTGTGAATAGTAGGGCTGGCATTGACCGTGGCAAGAAGGCAGCTACAAGGATTTGACCCTGAAACAAGTTTCCATATAGAGGGGTGAAAGTTCACAGGTTATTCTGTGAACTATCATCTCTCTTCTGCCCCACCCACTGACCCAAGTAAGTCAGTCATTTCCATCACAGCAGCAAATTGCTTGACTTAATATACAAGTTTACACATTGGTATTGATAACGCAGTTATTCTCACACAGTAGGTAATAGGTACAATGTCTAGTATTTTTGTAGTAACTTTACCTATGTTTCAAAATAGTGGTAAGTTCACGGAACACTTTTTAAATTTCTTTATTTCTTTTTTTTTTTTTTTTTAAACTGTGTTTGACGTACTCAATATTTCCCAGATTTGAAGAGACGAAGACAGATATTTCCTTGGTTTCAAATATAAGCAGAATTAGAAGTTTTCCTTTTCCAGGAGACTTAGAATATATATATTCTTAATAAAAACTATTAGCCTCTCAACACAGGCACTTATGGCACATACCAAGGACATATGCATCATAACCCCCCACATTTCCTGTTGTTAAGAAGTTAAATAATAAAAATTCATGAACATGTATAATAAGAATAGTTTTCCAAATATTTACCTATATAAGCAACAAAACAAATCCCTAGAAACCATGCAACTGGATGTTGAGTTTAACAACAAGGTGCTCTGACGGAAGGAAGGGTAGACAGAGGCTAAGTTTACCTCTCCAGTTCAACTTTCAATCGGTGCAGGCCATGCAGTTTATGTGTACGCAGAGACAAGTTAGCTGATGTTCGATACCAGCTGCCTCACTCTATACACCTAGAATGGCTTTTACTTACTTCCAGTTTCATCCTCCCCTGTCTTTTCCAGGAACCTCTCATAAGAAAAGGTCAACCATGCAGAGTATGATACAAACCCCAGTCAATGTCACCCAGGGTTCCGATTCCTCTTTTGTACCTGCTTTGCAATGATAGAATTTTCAACATCAACATCTGTTTCATTTTCACCAACGTGTATTCAGTTCACAACCAGAGTAGGAGCAAGTTCTTGATGAAGTCACTTTCATGTTATAGAGCTTTCCCATTACATTTTCAAATTAATTTTGGAAAAAAAAGACATAAAATATACCCATTTCGTGGCTTAAAATGAAGGCATTAACCTTAGACAGAAATATCAAAGCCTAAACAAATCCTAAACTTAGAAAAAAATCTAACTTTATCTAAACTTTTAAAGTGCAATTGTACTTCAAAATGACTGTAAATATGGCATCGTCTTACTCAGATCTGCTTCTTGTGTATTCATATCTTGTATTGATATCTGCTGATTTTAGTGGCAGACCATGTTTTTACTGCTTTTCACTCCTGTTGCCACAACAGAGCTAACAGGGTTAAGAATGAGAGCTGAATTCTATTCCTTCTTGTGCTTCATTAACAAAGCCTTTTACTACACTGCAAACAGTTACACCTGCACAACCCCGTTGCAGGCTGCAGAAAGTTGGTTTCTCACACATCACTACCAGAAATAAAGAGTTCAGCTCGTCTCACATTCCAATTAAAGAGAACAAGTACTGCAGGTCAGAGGAAAAACAAAACAAAACTTTTTACTTATAAACGGAGGATAACTGAAATAGAAATCATAAAAGAAAAACATGAAGCCATACAATGCCATTTATACAGTTACATTCAGAGTGAAACTGCACTTTAAAGCGAATGTGAAAAATGACATTTATAAAATGTTAACTTTTTTAATTAGATAATGAATGGAACTAAGAGGGAACAGTATGGTCTAGAAACTGAACAAAGTACTTGAAATGACTACGCTCCAAGTCCACTCTGCCACCAATTTACAGTGTGATGTTGGAAGACACTTCAGCTCTTTGTCTCAGTTTCCTTCTCTCCAAACAAAGATAATACCGTACTAACTCACCCACCCCATTATCTCACAGGGGTATTTGTAAGAGCGCCATATTTGTAATGAACTTTGAAAGTGTTAAAAAAAAAAAAATCAAAAAATCAAGTGATGCAGGACATGTGGAAGATTCAAATTCCTTTTTATTTTAAATTAGACAGGCAGAATACCAGACTAGACAGTCCAATAGGATCATCAGGTACAGTAAATCCTATGTTCCTAATTCTTTTCATTACCATTGTCAAATGAGTTTCATAACAGATTAAAAAAATATTTCCCATTTACCCAATCTCTATTCACAAATTGTATTACAAGAGAAATTGCTCATCAAGATGACAGTTTAATGGCAACTTCTCACCTGTTAATCTCCAAGCCCTCCTATGCCAGGCCAGACAAGTGGGTACATCTCCTCCTACCAGCAGATGGGGATGAACAAAGAGCAATGCTCTTGTGACACTACTTCTCCTACAAAGGAGGCTGGCTGGCAGATCCTGCTCAAATAGTTTGGAATGCTTAACGCTTAAAACTACAATAGGAAAATAACTTCAGAACAGTTTCAACTCCAACAACAAAATAAGAACAAGCGTGGGATACCTGGGCTGGCACAGGAGGGCTTAAAAACCAAACTAACAGGTAAAAAATTACAATTTTACAGCTTTATGCTATGCCAACAAAGCCCAGAGATAAGTGGGAATGTCAATAACAAGACAAAAGGCGAATACCTTACAAAAAATAGAGTAAGGGATTACAGTGAGCAGGACCTGGCTACCGAAGATGGCAGCAGCAAAGCCTAAAACATCAAGTCCAGAATGATTTGAGATAGCATGTAAATATGCTTAACCGGCTCCTTTCCACACAGTTCTGGAGGGGAAGAATCTCCTCCTCTTCTGTCAGTGATGTAGACATGATGTTGAAGGAATAAGTCTTCATAGAAAACAGAGCTGCTTCATCCTGGTCAATGGTTCCTCTCACACAAGACACTGAAGCTTGCAGATTGCTAAGCCTTTTATGGTTGGGACTCTCAAAAACACGACCACCACACGGGATCTGACTTTCTAACCACTAGATATCTAAGATACACAAAGCCTTCACAGTGAGTGTTTCACAGGGCCAGTCAGAATAAGGAGAAGGAACAGCCTTGTGGATGGGAGAAACCAACTTGGAAGGAAATTGAGAGCAACCCTAATTACTACCTTGTCCTGATAAAAAATTAGGCAGGGTTCCCTGAATTAAAGGACTTATAGCACTCATTCTCTCCTAACAAAAAAGCAAACTGAAAAGAAATGTTCACCCCTCTTTAATGGTGCACAAGAGAGGGCATTTGGCACGAAATACAGATCTTATCGGGACAGAGAAAAAAAAAATCTCAGTTTTAGCTTGTCAGCTGTCCTAAAAAACATTATCTTCAAAAGTGCATCATAGAAGAATGCTCTAACTTTGCCTCTTAGTATTAGAGTGGCGTGGACCCCAAAAGCCAATATTCCAGGCCTTTCAAAAACAGAACAGAATTTCACTAGTAACTGAACTTAAATCTTCTGGCCTTGCATCAAGCTTGAAATATGCCTTAATCTGCTTTTGAACACTTACCAAGCAGTTCCGATAAATCCCTCTTCATGCAGGTTCACTCAAGAACAAGGGATTCTCCATGCTGAATTGTACCCACAGTGAAACATAGTGGGTGATCACAGAAGAGATCCAGCCAGCTACCGTGCTACCACCTCCCGAGCCAGTCCAGGAATTCCAGCCAGTCCAGAAATACCAGGATGATCTTCTCCCTGAATTTGGCTATCTTCTGAAGGACTGACTATGGTGAGACGTATAGGGAAGATATACAGCAGGTCAAACTCCTACAAGGGAGAGTTAACACCTGCTCCCAGGGCCAATGAATCCTGGACTCTGGAGTAAAAGGCCTCTATATTCCCATTCATCCAAAGGGGTACCAACAAAATTCTGAAAAGCACCTATTAGTTTGAAGGACAATTCACCACCTCTGTTTGTACAAAGGTATTACTGAGTGCGTAGTTTTGTTGGTGGGCTTTTTGTTTTGATTTTAGATTGTACAGAATATAAAGCTTTAGAGTATTTTTGATTGTGTATCTTCTGGAAGTGATGCTGTATCATCCCTTAGAGCTGGAAAGACTTTGGCAAAGATACTGGTTTTCCATTCCACCGGGAAGGTACTGATTACAGTGATTTATGTTCAGAGGAAACTCCTTTGTAAAGAGTCCACCACAAAGGAAGCCTTATCCCCTTCCTCCTAAAAACTGAGCACTGTCACCTCCAGGATTTCTGCTGTTCATAACTGTTGTGCTGAGCCAGAGAGAAAGGAAGTCTCTGAAGCCTCAGAGCCAGTCCATTCGGAGGCCTTGCATTAAAATTAAATCCAGGGACTTGTAATGGATTCAGTACTGGACAGGGAGCCTGCGTAGCATAAGCCACATCAGAGCGTCTTGTTAAACCACCTGGCCTTTACTTTCATCCCCAAGCAAAGCACAGTGTAGCAGACAAGCCTGAAGGTGATGAGCATGTGATAACTTGAAAGGCTGCCTCCACTTCTTGTAAGATCAGAGAAGGCCAGACAACTCTCCATTCAAGAGGAGGTGATATCACAAGAGTTTTGTTTTTTCTTGTCTCCATCTACTGGAGGAGGGAGTTATACTCACTTGTGGTGAGCACCAGGGAATGTGGAAGAAAGGATTTTACCTTTTCAGAATGTCTAGCCCTAAATATAGCTTTATAACAGCCCTGAAAATGCCTTGTTTTACAGAGATAGCACAAATCAACAAAAAAGCCATTACACTGTGCAATGTGTTATAAAAAAGAACCCAGTTAACAAAACACAAACCTAAAAAACACCTAGTTTTGGAAAAAATGTATTTGTTGTACAATACATGTGGTAGTGTTTATTGATCTAGAAGCAACTGGTGGCTTTGGGAAAGTCTAAACAAGAGTAAGCCTCAAAAGAACTTGCTTGACCAAAATATTTTACCTACTTCCCCTCAAATGATATTTTGTACAGCAACATTCTGTTTTGTTTTCTTTTGTTGCAAATCATCAGCCTCCAGAGAGAATCTATCCTATATATGCTATATGTAACAGGTTAATATTTTCCACATTTGTGAACTGATTACATCATTGATGATAAACAGAAATCCACTTTTCAGAAAAAATAATATTGGTCACAACTGTATCAATGGGATAAAATGGAACCTACAGAATGTTGTTCTTTTGGGAATATTGTTCAACAACCCAATGTCCAAACATTATGAATCAGTCACACTGCTAAAACGAAAGAAAATAAAAATGCTGCTAGTTGGAATGCCACAGTTATTCAATCTGCCATATTAACCATTTTAAGTAAATTAACTTACATGCCACACAAAAATTTATTAAGGTGAAGTTAAGGTTGCAGATACATAGCGGTTTGACTACATACTACCTTCCAAAAATACTAATTAAATTTTTGGAAACCCAAATCTTAGAAACCCAGGAAATGCAGAGTTAAGGTTGCATTTCTCAAACAAGCAACCCCAACTAACTTAGCTCGCCTCACAGAAATGCCTATTATCTTCTTTGCATTTAGAGGATCAAAAATGTACACCACACACTGGTTTTATAATCTGTTTCATACATGCCTGTCATACTAAGTGCGATGTCTGCATATGGAGACACACTAACTCTGTCTCTACTGACAGTTTTGATTCTGCCAAGTGCTGCATGCCTCCAGCTCCTTGCAGGGTAGGGCCCTTAGTAAAGACAGGCATGATTGCTTTCAGCATGCTATTTGTAACAGTAATATGTAACATTTCTTTGTGTGTGCTGTGTATAGCTGTAAGGACAGCCATAAAGCAGCAGTACCGCTACACAGCTATGAAGAAGACATTCTACACTTTTTGTGGTCACTAACAGAAATTTAACATTTTAGTACGATGGATAACTGAGCATGCGTTTAATTTCTCAGGGCATCACTACAAAAGCAGAGTTAAAGGTCGTTCAGGTGCCTTGCCTGAGAAATGCAACTTGAACTCTGTATTTACTAGATCATTCTTTTTTTTTTTTAAACTACCGTTCCTGAAAGATAATATGCACTCAAAACACAGTGTGCCTGCTTTGCCTTTTGTGTGAGATTTTCCCATCTCATCCACAGAGCTGAGGTCCACCTTGTAAAGTTCATCAACCCTCTAAGTAAGCTTTGTGAGGTTTGTCAACAGTCCCACAATTCTTGCAAGCTTTAAGAGACTTGTGTGGGCCCCCACAGCCCTTTAGATTGGGTTTGTGATTGTGGTTACCGCTCAACCCCAAAATTTTGGTGGCCATACATGGGGAATGGGGAAGCTGAAAGGAGCAAAGAAGTCAATCTGAGGAACAGCTCAACAATGCAGGAGAAAGTGTGGGGGAAGCACGAGTGCCTCCCTGACTTCTCCACCCAATGGATTCTCCTATGGTCTGCCAGAGAAGAGTTCTGCTGCTTCAAACCACAGGATGTCTATTGATTAGAGAAAGGACAGAAGTACTAGTGTTTCTCCCTGCCTGCTCATTTGCTACTGAACTCCACATCCCCATCTGAAGCTTTCTCAAGCCAGAGGTCAACAGTCAACATGCAGGGGCGGCTCTAGCAATTTTGCTGCCCCAAGCAGCCACCGCCGAATTGCTGCCACGGGACACAGACTGCCGCCCCATTCTAATTGCCGCCCCAAGAACCGGCTTGGAAAGTTGGTGCCTGGAGCCGGCCCTGTCTACATATTTCTCCCCGCAGAGACATGAATATCTTTTGAGAAGGATGACATGCTCAGAAGCAGCTCAGGAGTACAGGAGAAAAAGGCAGAGGGAAAACACACCTGCCTTCTCCACTCCATGTATTTTGTTAAAGGACAGTCCTGCTACTGCAAGCTACAGAAGACCATCAGAGAATGTCAAAGAAGGAGAGATGGATGAAAACGGGGGGCTTGGGAAAGAGGAGATCAAAGGGGCATTCTCCTGCCTTGTCTTGGGAATCTCCTGAGGTACGCAGGAAAAGAGAACCCCAGAGAGCCTTAGGAAGGCTTACTGGCCTCTTTCACAAGCCTTTAAGTGGAAAAGTTCTCTTTTTCTCCTCACTCATAAGCCTCTCTGCTGAGTGGTTTTCATTTTGAAGTCTCTCTCTGCCAGGAAAAAGGTAGATACTCTATTTTTCAATCACTGGAGCTGATACTCTGAAGCAACGTTACAAATTCAAAACAACATTTAGTTTATGGAAGTCTTAATTTAAAGTTGGTCCTCAGCCCTAAGTCTCATCAAGATCCCAGAAAATTTTCCATCTAACAAGTATCTCTCTTTCCTTTCTATTGTCTTCCTAAAAACTTGGGGGGTGGGGGGAAAGGGGGAAGAGTTCTGAACTCTAGTGAACACTTTCTATTTTTAGAGTGTCATAATTCAAGAACCTCTTGTTCAGTTCATGTCAAATTTCTGCCTAAGCTTCAAACCTAACTTACTAGTTTTGAGAATCCTATTACTTTTTTGTGGATTATAGAATGAGCAAAATCAGTTTTGTAACAAACTCAGCTACTGCAACCATTGCCAGAGTGAGTGCTGTTACTCATGATTATTTGCCTGTAAAAATGGAAATCTCATAGATTCCCCAGTTTTATTCACTGAAACAGAACTCGTTCAACACTGATTTTCAAAGACGAAATATAAAATATTAACAAATTTACAAAAACATAAAAATGTATGACACATTTTGCTCAGGTGATAGGCTGTTATTTCTCTTATTAACAAATATCTAGGTGCTTGATGATACTAGATCAATAAACCAGTTGCAACCCCTATTTTAATATTTCAAAATATTTGGCTTGCAGAAATGGTGTTATATAATGCAAACTGAGGCAAGAAAGTAAATGGATGGAACTAATCCAAACAGAACAATTCATCTTGGGACAGAAGTGCTGATCCTGTTCCCATTGAAGTCAATGCCAAAACACCACTGAATTCAATTACATCAGGATCAGGCCCTGACCAGTACATTCCAAACGGATTAGCTTAATTGATGACCTACCACTGCAACCATACCCAAGATTATGGATGTCATTTCAGCACATCAACAGTAATAGAATGCGTGAACCAATCTATTTCAAATACCAGCCAGATTTTTTTAAAATTTCCATAATGCACCTATCAAGCTCTCTAGGCATCAGAAAACCTGTTCATATGAACACCTTAACGCATAGCTAGATAGATATGCATTGTTATTATGCCTAGATTGAACGCATATAGTAAATTAATTCAGTTAAAGGTATAGCATATTTTCCAAGTACATTGTAGTAGACTGTTAACAACTTTAGTGTGCCATTTTTCGTATCTTCCAATAATTTCAATGTTATTTATCATGTGATATTTGGACATATCTGTCTGCATATCATCTACCTTTCTAATCCAGGCTTGGGGACCACTGTTGGACAACTCATCTGAGGACAAAATCTGTGCTCCAGTACTTCCTGTGAATTGGCCCGGCAGAGAATTTGACTGCGCCCAGGCATCAATCTACAAGATAGATCAGCATAAAAACAAAATAAAAATCTGCAACTTCTCCCCCCAAATGTAAAGATCCATGCCATTTGTGTTATGAAACAGAACATTCCCCCCCCCGGTTTAATAAAAAAAATACAAAGTTACTATAATTTAGAACTATTTTTACTTTAAAACATTTAAACCACAGAGTGACCATGAACAAGTCATCCCCCTATTCTTTACCACCATAATACAACTATTTTCATCACTTTTGTAAAGTACTTGTTCTGGAGACAAGTACAAAAATTACTACTGTCGCCCCCAACCTCTTTCCACCATAATTATAATCTTTTTCGGGACTAGGAAAAACTATTTCTGATCAATTCCTTAATCAGAGATGTGAAACAGAAATATCACCAGGTAAACCATAGTATGCCTTATATATCCAACACTATGGTATATTTAAAGTACTGTTTTACTATGAAAGATCGTTTTTTAAAATAGCATTCTCTCAAGGACTCCCACTTGAACTCTGCCTAGCTTTTTATACTGTGCTCATCACAATTGTTCTGGGCATGTGTTTACAAATAAAATTCTCATCACCTTTTAACTTCCAGCCATGCAATCTGAAAATCAAGTTAGTTTACTTCTGGCTTATGTATCACCAACAATAAATACTCTGTGGTAAAAATTTAAACTAAAATTTTCAAATGAGTGCCTAAAGTCAGACTCCTAAAATCCATATTTCGGTATTTATAGAGAAAGTGGCCTGATCTAAAAAGAAGCTTAGCATCATTTTTCACTGACTTCACAAAACTCTGATAAAGAAAAAACAGCGCAACCCACCTGTTCCTGTGCACGATTTAACAAGCACATGGCCTCCAAGTCAAATGTATTTTCTGTAAGCCTCTTCTGAGCCATTGTTCGTTCATTCATTGCCGTAGAGATGTCCACAGTCTAGGAAGAAATACAGCTTATTTATTTTTTTAAAACAGATTGACCATAATAATGTGTTCTTGCTCTAGAAGCGTTTATTGTAAAATAAGGAGATATGCTAAAAAGTTGTGTTATACATCTGAAAGTAGTAAATTGAAATGGAAAACAGATTCAACAAAAAAAATTAATCTGACAACTGCTTGTTAAACATGTATAATCTGACTTTTACAAAATTAATAGAAATTGTGTAGGGATAAAATACAATATAGTGGCATTACTTTTTGCAGTTCTAGCATGTTCATAAATTGGTCATCAATCGTTAGCCTAGTAAGCTTAAATTTTACATTTATTTTCAACAAAGAGAAATAGAGCAAAGGCTCCAGATATATAAAACTGAAAAGTATTTTTAAAAAATGCTATAAATCTATTTAATATTGTCAAAACTGGAATGCAGAAATAATTAATTAAAGGTAAACGGTCAGGTCCCACAGAAATGTAAGCAGAATTTCTTTATAAAGAGCAGTTCCTGTTAGGATTCATGTTTTAATACACACTATTATTTCTCCAATGTAATGCAACTTTTCATATTGTATCACATGCACTTTTATCAACCTGGATTTAGTCCCACTCATCTACTTAAGACCTCTTCTCCTCTCTCAACCACTTTGCTTCTCATTTCTTCAAAAGGATGTACTTATTTCTGCTCATTCACAGACAGCAAGCACCTTTAATTCTTAAACCTGATTCAGGATTCTTCCCCACCAGCTGCAGTAGGACTTCAAAGGATGTGCTGCTCCAGCTAATGCAAATTATTCTGGGCTGTACCTAAAACCCAAAGGCATCCAAAACACACTACTGAACAGAAACAGGGACAAAATTTTAAGAGGGCAGGCCATGTACATATCAATTTCACAGTGAAGAAGAGTGGTTTGGGACTGGCCTATTGATGACACACTGCTGTTTCCTACCACTTAACCTGAAGCAAAGAGGTGGTAGCAAATGGCTGATCTCACCATATTAAAAAATCAGTACAAACCAATATCGCATTCCGATACATGAGTCCAAATTCTGGTATTGTCTTGGAAGTTAATTCACTTTGAAAGCATAGAAAAATAAGGTTTATTTAGATTTTGTTCCTATACATAAACTATTACCAAAGGCAACTATACCAGTAAACGTCCTGAAGATTTTGATAAAGAGTTCAGTTTTGGAAAACAATTATTTTTCTCTCAAAAACTGAAAAACTCTGCTGGTATAACAAAACAGTTATACCAGATTGTAGTAGGGAGGGCACTTTTTTCCTGAAGAGTAAAAACAAACAAACACAGTCCAGCCTTGACGGTAGGGGAATGGTCTAGATGACCTCTAGAGGTGCCTTCCAGTCCTACACCTCTATGATTCTGTGAAACAAAAAATTTCTTCTGCCAAAGATACCACACATCAAGCAGACAAATTCATGTAAAGTTACTAAAGGGACACAGTCAACTTACATTTGCCCCAAGTTTAAATTCTGTAAAAAATCAAACTTTTATAAAATTGAAGACCACAAGAATTTTTTTTCTTAACTTCAGTGACATCTGTTTTTACATATTCTCCCTGAAGTGTGAAACCTAGACTGATATACTGAGCACCTAAAATTAAAATACAATTAACCAACGTAGAACCAGATTGCTGGCACAGAAAATTATTTAATAATCCCCTCCAAAAACTGACAGGCATTAATGGAAATACAATGCATGCAGTGGGGGCACTCAGGATAAAGACATTTGCTTAAATGCTAATAATTTAAATCTCTCTGTATATCAGGTGAAGGGTAGGATAAAAGTTACAGTGGAACTTCTGAAATCACAGAAAAATTCTGGAAAATAATGTCAGACTAAGGAGTTAAATACAAATACAGAGCAAAAAATAAATTATAAATTTCTATACACCAATGAAAGAAGCTTAAATGCAAAAACAGATGAACCAGAATGCCTTTTAATAGAAGAGGAATCAGAACTTCTGTCATAGACATTAGTGAGTTCTTGAAACTCTCAGGAAAGAGACATGGGTGAACCAACTGGAACAGCTCCAGGCAAACCTCTGCTCAATGCACATCAGTGGTCAAAAAACAAAAACGAAGTGTTAAGAGGTACAAGTATGGGATAAAAAATAAGAACAGTATAAAGCAATTATATACTTTAGTGATACACTCTCACTTAGAATACTCTGTTCATTTTGGATCACCATATCTCAAAAAAGAGAGAAAGAGAAAGGTCCAGAGATAGGTGATTGGTATGCAGACCTCCGAATGAGGGAGATTGAAAAGACTGGGACTGTTTACTTTAGAGAGGAGACATGACAGAAATAATCAATACAATGAATGGTACAGACAAGGTAAACTGGGTGTTCCTATTTAGCCTCTCACATAATATAAGAGGGTATTCAATAAAATTGAAAGGAAATTAATTTAAAACTAATGAATATATACTTTACACAGACACAATTAACTGACAGCTCACTGCCACTGGAAATCATTAAAGCCAAGAATTTAGGAGGATTTGAAAAAGAGAAATGAGAAAAATGAGAACATCTAGAATTACATAAAACAGGATAACTAAGTTTTATACATGGGATATAAACCTTCATGTTTAAGGGGAAAAGACGACAACCATTCACTGTCTGGGATTAGGAAGAATCTTTCCATATGGGCAAGTTATTCCATAATTGTGCACGGGGTAGTTTGTTGCACAAACTACCTGTGAAGAATCTGGTACTGGCAAGTCAGATACTGGATTAGATGGACCCGTAAAACAATTCCTGTGTTCTGCAGAGAACTGCAGAACATAAACAAGCAGCATAAACAGTGAAAATGTTAATCAAAACAAATTCCAGTAATTATAATCCAAGGTGTTAATAAATTTGTGTACAACATGTACTTTTTTGTGTTGACAGTGCTACTTAAATTTTGGTGAGTAGAATAATTTTCTCTTGAATCCTGACTACAAGCTAAACATTAATAAACTTTAATGTTAACATTTTATCTTCCTTTCTAAAGCCCCAATCCAGCAATACACTTACGCATGTGAGTACTGCACTCAAGTCAGTAGGACTATTCACACAGTTAAAGGTACACATGCACTTAAGTGCTTTGCTAGATCTGGGCCTATTAGCAGACACCCTACTTAGAAAGAATTTCCCCTCATGATTGGTCACCATATTTGAGACAGTAGTGGCTTGTATTACTCTATGGTAGCTTTGGGTCTCGGAAAATGCTTCAAATAAGGAAAGATACTGTTTTACTTGACTAAACAATAATATCAACTTCAATGCTTTACCCTCTGTAGAACTCTTGCTCTCCCCATTTGAGTTTCAACACTAATGTTGTCCCCACAGAAATTATGCAAAATCTTGCAGCACTGAGGACTATTTTGGCAGACAGATATGCCAAACTATATTTTGTGGGGATGCTGCTGGATTTTTTGTTACACTGGCTGCAGAGATTATGTTTTTAATTAGTGAGGGGTGTGCAGAATATGAGCTAGGTGCCTCTCAGTTTTACAAATCTACAGCAAATAAGTAAATCAGTAAATAAATGTTCTCATGGAACATTTTCAGACTTTTAGAGTTCACTGCAGAATAAAACTCCCCCCACATGCTTCCTTGGTTAGCTGCCACTAAACTTCCCAATAGGCTCAGCATCTTTAGTACATAGAGTCTACTCTTCTCTCTCCACCAGCATTCATCTTTTCCAGAGAAATCCTGAAGCTGGGAGAAGGCTAAGGACCATATGTTTTTTTCCCCATCTCCAACCATACTGGATAATCACATTAGTTGGATACTTCTGCTAACATGGTCAGCAGCAAACTAGTTGCAGGGGGCAATTTTGACAGCTTATTCTGAAGCTAGGTCAGTAAATTAAAAAATGTCCCACACAAATTAGGCATGATCTTCTGATTCCTGATGCCAATGTGGACTGATATCTGAATTGTCACCATTAGGTTTCACAGTTGTTAACACAGTGAGACGAATGGGACCAATTCACATTTGTTAGATCTATTAGTTAAGCTCCAATAATAGTGTACTTGGTACTGCACAATGCAAAGAAGAAAATAAGGTCCTGGCTACAAGAAGTGTATAATCTAACAAACAAATCATTCAGATACAAAATGCACTGGGATGGTCCAGAAGAAGCAAGTGACAGACAGAGCTGCAGAGCTTCATGGCACTGATGAGGGGCAGGGAGGGAGGGGTGGGGGGGAGAGAGAGAGGGGGGCATCTTAAATTGGATGATATAGAAAACAGAGTGAAAAGAAATAACCTCAGAATTAAGGGACTGCCTGAAAACGTTGAAAGAGGAAGCCAATATGTAAACACTTCAGCTGTGGATTTGTTAAATCTCAGCTCTCTGCAAGGGGGTGAAAGTAGACAGCACATACAGCACTGTTGCCCCCAACTGAGTCTAATAACCGTAACAGACCCAGAGATCTAATTGTGAAATTTCACCATTATCAGACAAAAAACTTAATTAGGAAAAAAGCCAGAGAGCATTCAAAGCTAAGACTCAAATGACACAAACTGCAATTTTTCCATACTCTCTCTGCCCCAATCTTAAAAAAAGAGGAAAGCACTGGGAGAAATTACAGCAGCACTCAGGCAGGAAGATATTTGCTATAGATGGGGATACCCATTTAAATTCTCTTTCAACTTGCAACACACAGTAAGAGACTTTAAACAAGGGGGGAAAATATACTCTTGGAATAGAACTCCAAATCTCAGACACACAAGCAGATACTCCAGAGGTAGAAACCAAGGATAAAATGCTGTTAGAATCCTGACAGATGGTGAAACCCAAAAAAGGAAGATAGGAAAAGAAAAGACAAGAGCCTCTAGAGAACATATTGCAATGGCAGAAGTGAAGCTGAACAGGAGAACACAGATACCTGACAAATAACCTACAAGGGATTTCTTGGGAGTCATCAAGAATGAACTGTTGTAAACTATGTTTATGTTAGAAGGGGAATAGTATGAAATGTGCTTCA